TATAACAGTATTTGTGTGATTTTGTGCGCTGATCCTGACAGTTCCTTTATAACAGTATTTGTGTGATTTTGTGTGCTGATCCTGACAGTTCCCAAGAATGGCAGTGTACAGTTTGACTATGGCTGAACATGTCCACCGATCATACCTAGAACTGGTGTCTGTAGTTTTTGTTAGAGGACAAAAAAGTACAATGAAGTAGGAACTGAATCTGGAGCATTAAAGGTGCCTGACAAGTGCCCTACCACTGAACTACCCCAATATCCTGCTTCTGTACGCCACCAGCTTTGAGGTCCCGAGACTGAATACAGGGCTCAGAGCTCTCTACTTCAGTGCTGTGTTCCTATCTTCTTTATTTTTTGTTTTTAGGGTCAGGCACAGACCAGGCTGGCCTTGCACTCCCAGAGACTTGCTTACTTCTTCCTCCAATGTGCTAGGATTAAAGGTCAGCACTACCACGCTCAGTTCCTAGACCTTCTTAAATTTTTCATTTTGAAACAGTCTTTCTACCTTGAACTATCCTCCTGCCTTAGTCTCCTAAGAAGCTGAAATTACAGGTGTGTGCTATCCAGTCCTGACTTCATTTGTACATCCCGAGTGCCACTGTTTCTCCTTTTTATGTAACCAGGAATTAAAAAATATTTTTTTCCTTCTAAAATCTAGGCTCTGATTTTGAAGCATCTCAATTAAACATGACCTGGAGTTATAGAACATGCCACTTTGTCGCACCTGACATTTATATCAGCTTGGTGCTCCAGTAGGAAGAGAGCACTCTTGCTGTCCTGCCGCTGTATGGCCATGTGCAGCAGTGTCTGTCCATCTGACATGGTGTCATTGATTGAAGCTCCGGAGCCCAGCAGCTGGGCAGCAATTGTGTGCATGCCTGGGAAACAAACAAGCTCCAGTTCATGCAGTACAGTCTTTTCCTGTTTTTTTTTTTTGACAACAAACAGACCCTTGAAGCTTCTCAAAGACAGCAGGTTTTCAGTGAATATAACAGGCAGAAAGTTATTTCACAGTAAAATGATTAGCCCCACCACTTCCTCCTACCCCCTCTAGTCTATCCGCCTACTTATCTCCTGAGAGTCAACAACATTTGGCATAGCTTACCAGTCCATAATGCCAGGCCGAGCACAGTTTGGTCTCTGGAATCCTTGAGGCTGAAGTCAGGAATGATTTGTAGGTTGTTGGTGGCGTGAAGAGCATTGGCTAAATATTTTTAAAAGAAAAAGAAACTTGACTTCACCATCCTGTGGCTGACAGAGTCACTTTTTTTCTTTCTTTCTTAAATCAAGGTAGAAGTAAGGAGGAAACGGTCTCCCCAGTGGTTGCCAGCCCTGGATGGATGGCCTCAAATATCTGGAGAGCTTGCTGTCTTTGACCCCTGAGTACTGTGGTGTTATAGCCATGAGCCACCACACTTGACTCCTTGGGTCACATTTAAGGCATTCTAGAAGCTAGGACTCAGTTATAAACGGACTGACTGCCAGCATATAATTGCTTTTCAAAGGGAGCCAACAGATATTTCTTGTGGGGAATGGAAATCTAGATCTGTTACTTTGAAGTAAAATATTTAAGATAAATTAATTTTTTTAAACTTAAACATTCCACACACAATGAAAATAGACTGTACTCTAGAGACTACAGTGTAAGTGATAGCTGTGCATGATTCACAAACAGAAGCAACAGCCTGTGAAGTCAACTGCCCAAACATCCATTTCCTCAGCTCACAATAGTGGGTATCAGACCCAACCACCTACCTTTCTGCTCTAAGATGACAGAAACCACATCTGGATGGTTATAGGCAATCGCCATGTGCAATGGTGTTTGTAGGTAGATGCCATCTACAGAACTCACTAGGACCGGAGACTCTTTAGACACAGGCAGAGCCTCCTCTGTCTGCAAGTTTGGATTGGCACCTTGCTGCAGGAGCTCTGCTGTGAGGTTGGCCAGGCCATGCCGACAAGCTGTATGTAAAGGAGTTTCTCCCTGAATGAAACAAAAACCAAATCACCTTAGAAGGGAATTAGGAGTTCCTGTCACAGTTACAGACAGTGGAAGTAAGCAAAACTCAGGCCCCACTGTCTGATGAGCTTTGCTGTGGGTTCCTCCTGTCACCAGCTGACCTCATGACCTCGACTCCCTTCCCTCAGTATCATTAACCTTTCATTTCGTAAGTGTCTTCCCAAGTATCTTTCTGTCTTTTCTCTCCCATGACAACCTTGGGTTTCCCTTTACTTTGTTCTCACATTTTTTCCTACTTATGCAAAGAATATTTCTCTATAAAACAGCAGCAGTCAAAAACTACCAGGCATCACCATAGTCAACACCAGAAAATGGCAATAGAACTATGGCCTGAAGTAAGCAGGGCTAACTTTTTTCTTTTTCTTCCTTCCTTCCTTTTTTGTTTTTGCTTATTTTTCAAGACAGGGTCTTTGTATAGCCTTGGCTGTCCTGGAACTCACTTTGTGGAACAGGCTGTCCTCTAATTCACAGAGATTCACCTACCCCTGCCCCACAAGTGCTGGGATTAAAGGTGTGAGCCAGCACTGCCAGGCTGGGCTGATATTCTTAAAGCAACAAGCACAAGTGATAAAAATGACCTGAAATATTAGCACAACTTCTCTTTCTGAAAATAAGAAAGCCAAAGAAAAGAAGGGTTCCCCACTAGGGAGAACTCCACCAAAAACCTAGCATTTAGTATCTAGTGTTCCAGATAGTATGTTAATATACATTTAAATAACTTGTTTATTAAAAAAAAGATTTTATATTTAATTGTGCATGCTTGTGTATGGGTGTATGCAATTGAATACAGGTGCCACAGAAGCCAGGTGTTGAATGCCCCCAGAGCCGAAGTCACAGGTAGTTGTGAGCTTATCCCACATGGGTACTGGAAATCCACCTCAAGTCCTCTGGGAGAGCAGGTGGCACTATTAACCAGTGAGCCATAGTAGCCTCACCAGCCCTATTTCTTTTCACCTCACCCATTCCCTATGACATCAAGACAAACTTCTTTTATAGCTGTTGAAACTGAAGCTCAGAAAGTCAAGTACATTGTCTAAGACTAAAGCAGGAAGTGGGAGAGCTGGTGAACTCAGGACTGTTTGACCCTAAGACCTACTGCCGATCTTATCAATGCCTTCCCTTACTCCGGGAAAATAGAATCTTGGATACTCCCAGAGATGCCTGAAACCATTGGAATACCAAACCCTATGTCTATATTTTCCTAAGGAAGTACTTATGGTAACATTTAGCTTATCATTTAGGCACAGAAATGGAACTAGCAACAATAAAACAATTATAATAATATACTCTAATAAAGTTGTGTGAATGTGACCTCTCAAAATACCTTCTGCTCTATATTCATCCTCTTGTAAGGACATGATGACTGAACATAATTGAAAGGATACAGGCATTATGACAATGAAGATAAGCTTTGACACTGAGTCAGACCATCTTATGAGAGAGAGTGGCAGGCAGTGTAGGCACCATGGATACACTGGACAAAGGGGTGATTCACAAACTAAGATCATATGACATTTCATGATGCTACCCCAGCAGACAACCTAAAGTTTATGAATTATTTTCACAATTTTCCATTTACTATATTCAGACTGTGACTGACCATAGGTATCTGAAATCTAAAAGTAAAACTGCAGGTGAGGGGAGACCATGATCTGGTTGGCATTGTTGCTTAGGGACAGATGGAAGAAGCAGCCCCACAGGAGACCTGAAGAGCCAGAAGCAAGACAGGATAGCACACCTGTGATCCTAGCACTGGGGCGTCTAAGACAGGAGGTCACAAGTTTGAGGTCAGGTTCTACAGAGCAGGTCAAGACCAGCCTGGGTTACATAACTGTTTCAAACCCAAAAGAATCAAGAAGCTATTATAACACTTGTTTACATTCTTGCTTGCTAATTTCTATTATTATATTACAGAGTCTACAGGATCTAGTTCAGGACATGGCTATAGTTGCTGACTGAATCAATCAACCAATTTTGATAATATGAGAGTCCTTTTTACATTGATTATATGAATATTTACAAAAGTGAAGAAGAAAAAAAAATACTATTCCATTTTTCCTGCATACCCAAGATAGCCATTTCTTCCACAAACCAGCTGCCTGTTCCAACTTACCCATTTGTTCCTGTGGTTGGCGTGGGCACCACTGGTTGCCAGGAAGAGAGCTGCAGCCTCATTTCCAGCCCCAGCTGCCCTCTGTAGTAAACAATTTCCTACAAGAAAGAAGCCAGGTTCATTCTTCTGTTTGCATGAAAATGAGCTCAAGTCCCACCCTGTACAACAGCCTGTCCTCACTGATGGCCAGTCCACACAGACAGTAGGTGCTGCTTCATCATTCTTCCTGGCAGTAAGTTCTAGCTCCTCATAGGGCTTGAGTAGGGGCAAAGTTCCCCTCCTATCACAGCAGTGCTGCTGACATTTTCTATAACATTTCCTTTGCCATACAGGCCTGATCTGTAAGTTGCACAACATTTGGCAATACCCTGGCTCCTAGCCACAGATGCCAAAGGATCTCTGAACTTGTAGCAATCAGAAACATCTAGGGGTTCAGTGGTTAAGAGCACTGGCTGCTGCTCTTCCAGCACTGGGTTCTTCAAGAGGACCCAGGTTCAATTCACAGCACCCACACGGCAATGCAAAACTGCTTACAGCTCAGTTCCAGGAGACGTAATGTTCTTTTTTGGTCTGCATTGGGTACCAGACATGCACATGGTGCACTGACATACATACAGGCAAAGCATCCACAACACATAAAATAAAATTTAAGTTAAAACAAAACAAAACAAAGTCTAGAGATGCTTGCAAATGTTCTAGGGAAGATGGGATGCAAGTAGCAATGATCAGGCATCATGACCTGCAGCTATACTAGAAAATGCCCACCAGGAACTTCAGTCCTATCCTCACAGCCTTAGTAAGCTTGCTGTTAGCTCAGGAAGAGTTTTGCTTCATATTGTAACTATTTTCTGAATAAGACACTTAGGAAAATAAAATCTTTTCCAAATGGTTTTTGGCTCCAGACCCACTGGTCTAACTATTTCCAAATACAACATGAAATCTCATGTGGGCCCTGGAGAGATGACCCAGTGGTTCAGAGTATGCAATGTTCCTACAGGGTAACTGAGTTTAGTCTGATGGCTCACAAATGCCTGTAACTCCAGCTACACAGGATCTAATGCCCTCTTCTGGCCTCAGCAAGCACCTAGATACATGTGCACATAGCCATATACAGACACACAGGGACACTCATAATTAAAACTAAAAATCTTTGAAAAAAACAATCTCATATTCTAAAGCTGTAGTGCTTGAAAAGTCTAAATAAAATAAATATTATGACTAAAAAAGAAAAAGGAAAGAAATGGGACAAAGCACTGCCACGGAGAGGGCTCAGTCAAGAATGCTTTCTGTGTAACTTAACCTACACCTCATTTTCAGAGCTGTGTTTTACTTTATGTTTTTTTTTCTAAGACAGGGCTTCATTATTGTAGGCCTGGATGACCTAGAATTTGTTATGGAGAGCAGACAGACCTTGAACTCACAAAAGATCCAACTGCCTTTACCTCCTGAGTGCTGGGATCAAAGGTGTGCTCCACTGGGCTCAGGCTCCCCCAGTACTATGTAAATAGCAGTAGGTGCACCTATAATGCCAGTATTTCTAAAGTGAGATGGAAGGAGGAGCCATGAGTAGAAACTCTAGAGCTGGCTAGCCTATGCAGAAGGGATCCTGCCTTCAGAACCAAATACCAGAAGTTATCATCTGACTTCCACATGCTCAATCATATATGTATGTACACATATATGTACCCTCAATTTTAAAAAGAAAAGAAAATGGACAAAATACTACTTTGTTTTTATATCATTTTTTTCTCCCTTCACAGAAAGTGACCTCATCTATAGTTTATAGTCATTCTAATCTCAACTTCTGCTGGGCATGGTATATGCCTAGAATCTTAGCTGTTAGGAGGTAAAAGCAAGACAATAAATAGGGGGCTGGAGAAATGGCTTAGCAGTTCAGAGTACTGAATACCCTGCAGAGGACCTGAGTTCAGTTCTAGCTCTATGGGGTGACTCCACATCATTTGGACAATACAGCAGGACCTTGTCGAGAGAGGGGGGGGGGGGGGAGGGGGAGGGGGGGGAGGGGAGGGAGAGAGGGAGAGAGAAGGAAAGAGAGGGAGAGAGGGAGAGGGAGAGAGGGAGAGGGAGAAAGGGAGAGAGGGGGAGAGAGGAAGAGAGGGAGAGAGAGGAAGAGAGGGAGAGAGAAAGGGAGAGAGAGGGAGAGGGCAAGGGAGAGAGGGGGGAGAGAGGAAGAGGGAGGGGGAGAGAGGAAGAGGGAGGGGGAGAGAGGAAAAGAGGGAGAGGGAGAGAGGGAGGGGGGAGAGAGGGGGGAGAGGGAGAGAGAAAGGGGGGAGGGGGAGGGAGAGAGAGAGAAAGAGAGAGAGGGAGAGAGAGGGAGAGAAGAAAACCTCATAGCAGGTAATAAGAGCTGAAGGCAGTAAGTTCTGTTCAGAGAGCTAAGAGTTTTAGTCTAAATACCTGGAAAGGCCATCCTGACTACATATAAATCTAGAAATGGTGGTATACGACAGCTCATCACTGTTGGTAATACTAGTTCAAGGGGATCCCATGGCCTCTTCTGGCCTCCTTGAACACTAGGCACATACATGATACATACATACATGTAAGTAAAACACTCATCCTAATAAAATAAAATAGATATAAAATGATTATAAGATTTAAAGAGTTAAGATCATCTTCAGCTACATATCAAATCTGAGAGCAATCCAGCTATATGACTCAAAAACAAAATAAAATCTAGACTAAAACTCAATTTTATAATGGAAAATATCTCAATAGTAAGTAGATGAGGTTGGGAGGGTCCCAGGTACAGCTCACTGACAGCACATGTACTGGCTGGTTTTGTGTGTCGACTTGACACAAGCTTAAGTTATCACAGATAAAGGAGCCTCCCTTGAGGAAATGCCTCCATGAGATCCAGCTGTAAGGCATTTTCTCAATTAGTTATCAAGGGTGGGCGGGCCCATTGTGGGTGGTGCCTTCCTTGGCTGGTAGTCTAGGGTTCTTTAAGAAAGCAGGCTGAGCAAGTCATGGGAAGCAATCCAGTAAGCAGTATTCCTCCATGACCTCTGCATCAGCTCCTGCCTCCAGATTCCTGCCCTGTTTGAGTTCCAGTCCTGACTTCCTTGGGTAATGAACAGCAATGTGGAAGTATAAGCTGAATAAACCCTTTCCTCTCCCAACTTGCTTCTTGGTTGTGATGTTTTGTGTAGGAATAGAAATGCTGACTAAGACAGCACACTACTAGCACTAAGGAAGGAAGGGAAGAGAGGAAAGGTGAGAAAGGAGATGGTAGAACAAACATTCCAAAGTTGATTAGAGAACATGAAGACTTGCACAGTGCAATGGACAACTGTGATTTAATGCACAAAGAGAATTCCGGTGAAAATGCTTATTATTGTAAACAATATATCACATTTTAGAAGAACATATTCTAAGGCTGGCAATGTAGCTCAGTAAGTTTTTGCCAGCTTGTGCAAACTGTCCCTGTGTACAAGCCCAACAATGTAAGGGTAGCGGGTGCAAGCTTATATAGAGAAAACAGTAATGCAACAAAATTCAAGTTCTAAATGCCACACTATTACACACTATAATTAAGGTTAGAAATCGATAAAAATGTGGCAAAAACCCAGTATAATTTCTAGATTAATATCTAGCTAGACACGATGGCATTTCCAGGTGCTTAATCTGAAACTCCAAACTTAATCTAAAACTTAATTTAAAACTAGCACTCTGGGCAGAACTTACTGCCTTCTGCTTTTGCTACCTACTATGGGAATTCCACACCCCCCATCCCCAACCTTTCTGGACAACATGTTGCTATATTGTTCTACCTGACTAGAACTGTGTAAACCAGACTGGCCTTGAATTTGTAATTATCCTAGCATGTGTTAGGATGACAAGGATGGACAATCTTATGGAGCTAGTGGGGTGCTTTCATTTGGCCTTCCTCTCTTCTCTCCCTCCCCTCTTTCCTCTCTATCATTATTAATTGTGTATTAAATCTAAATTCAAGGACATAGGCATGTGCTGAGGTATAACCCCAGCCTCTTTAAAGTTATTATAACTTTAGCAAATGTATTACTTAATAATTATCTTTTTGGACAGAGAGGAGGTAGGAATCAACTTTCTTTGTTAATGGTTCCTACCATGCCTGACATCCATTCATTTCTATGTGTGTGTTATGGGCATGAGTAGGGTAAGACAGTGCATTAACCCTGTCTGGAGGTCAGAGGAGTTATAGGAGTCTGTTCTCTCTCTCTCCTACCATGTTGGTTCTAGTGATCAGGCTTGGTGACAAGCACATTTACCCACTGAGCCATTTCAGCAGCTCTCAACTAACACTTTCTATGAGTACTCAATACTTAAATCAGTGGCATGTGGAGGTCAAGTGCCTCCCAGATCACAGCAGTGCAAACGTGCTGAGACACTCCTGAGAGTGCACTGTGTGTCTCCATTTTCACTGTCAAGAAAACCTGTACTTCTCATACTAAACAAAACAAAAAAAAAAACAACAAAACACACACACACACACACACACTCACACACACACACACTCACACACACAAAACCCAGTTTCACTCAACATGGTACTTGATGACTTTGTAAAAACTCTTAATTTTAGTAACTCTCAACAATGTATGTTTGTAAGAGCCAGGTGCTACATGAGAAATACAGACAAAGCTGCTGCCACACTGTAAAGCACACTGTCTAAAGGAGCACACTTGCATTAAGGTACATGAACAACATCAGCAGTGTCCGGGAACAGAGTTTTAACTCAGAATGACTCCCAATATACTACTGTTATTTAAACTTGAATGTTTGGTAGACATTTTCTTGAAAATGAATGAAGAGAGCTTGTCTTTTTAAGAAAAACAATTAAAAATAGTATTTTTAACTTAAAATTTAAATCTTGGAAAACTTTGGTATTTGTGGTACAGTGAAAGACTTCTGATGAGATGAACAGTGACACAGAAATCAACTCTGAAACATGACACACGGGGGTACGTCTATAACACAGTGAACCAACACTCTCCAATGACAAAGGCAGAATATTCTAGAACTACGCACATACAGGGACAATCTATTCAAAGCATCAACTGGTTGTGACTTTAGTAACTTTAGTATGATATGCAGAATGTAGCTCCGTTCCTTTTTCATGTCTCTAAGGCTGTGCGTTCTTCATACACTTTAAGCAGAACACATCTGATAAGACTGAACACAGATGAAAATAAGAAAATGCCTGCTCTTCTAATGAACCTGTTTAAGTTTATTTTCATAGTAAGTATATTCTCTATACCACACACTGATTAACACAGCTCTTTGCAAGCGTCTCAGTTCTGGAGCTGGAGAGGTGCTCAGCAGTCAGGAGTGCCTGCTGTTCTCACAGAGCGCCCAGGTTCCCAGCACCACAGCAGCTCACAATCACCTCACACCCAACTTCAGATCAAACCACTTCTTCTGACTTCCAAGGGCACCAGGCAAGCATGTGGCAAAGAAACATGCAGGTAAACATTCAGACATGTACAATAATCTAAAAATCAAATTAAAAACTAAAGTTTTTTGGTTTTATAAAATGGGTATGGCAGATTGTGTCTATAATCTCAGTACTTGGGAGGCTGAGGCAGGAGAACCTCTAGTTCAAGTCCAGCCTCAGCTACATGTACCTAAAAAGACTGTCTCAAAATCAAAAATAAAAGAAAAAAATTCTCATTATTATTTTCCAGTTCTAGTACATACTAAAGATATAGCTGTCCAAACAAAAACTACCTGAAATGTGAGTTCTCTGAGGGTAGAAGGACCTGCAGGTCTACAGAGTCTAAGAAGCATTGCTTTAATTTACCAGGTATGTTTTAGCTTCTAAGACTTAAACTGATGTTTGGTTAAATTATTTAGAGCACAAGATTAAAAAAAAAAATCACAACCTGGGCTTTTACTGAACTTAAAATTAAATACAAAAGAAATAGTTCTTCTAATAGTAAGCCTTTCCATTTCTGTATTTTTATTAAAACATTTACAACCTTGTGCTGTTGTAATCCCAACACTGAGGCTAAGGCAGGAGGATCACATGCTCAAAGCTAGTTTCAGCTGTCTAGTAAGTCTTAGGCCAGTATTGACATCACAACTCATGCCCCCAACAGCAAACCCAATGGTCTACTGTTTTCCTCAGACTCCCGCCTCACTCCCAGGGCAGCAGTGCTCTACCTGTCATTGCATCAGGAGCATCAGTGTTGCTGCCGCGTTGAATGAGTCTGGCTGCAAAGCTATTCTCATCAAATGATGTCCCGTTTACCACAGGGAGGTCTTCAAAGGGGTTTACAGACTGGTCTGAAGACACAGTGATGTACTGGACGGCAAGCCAAAGTGCAGTGCTGCCTTCGTGATCTTTCAGCTCTAGATCTAATCTGAAATAAAGAAGCGATGTGAATGACAGATACAATTTCCAGCCTCCCTTTGTTGCCAACAGCTCCACTCTCTCCCTATATGTTCTAAAGGACAAATTTTTATTTTATTTAAGGTCTGTAACTGTAAAGACATCTTAGAGAAAACTTCAGGCTAGGTATCCCATTACCTGGGAGGCTAAAGCAGAAGGACTTTGAATTCCAGGCCTGCCTGAACTACTTAAATAAGACCTCATATCAAACAAACAAATGAACAATAATTTTTAAAAATTTTAGTAAGGAAAGATTTTTCACTCACAATCCCACCCTCACAACCGCTTTTCATTTCTCCAGGCCGCCCTACGTACTGTTTACACTGCAGCAGCTGATTGAACACATATTCGTTCCTGGCCATGATGGACAAATGTAAAGGAGTCCTGAGGGTAAAACAGAATAAAATGAAATAAAAGAGGAGTCAGTTCAGGAGAGACAGATGCTCATAGCAGACAGGGATTAGAATCCTTGGTAAAATCACATCAACAACCAATTCCATCACTCTGGTTTCCAAAACCATGGCCAAGAATCAAAATATGAAAGCGACTTTGCTTCTATGGCCCACACTCTCTACCCCAATTCTAACCCTTCCTGAGGAATGTGGTAAACAGTAGCTTCTGGCACACTTTTGTCTCATCTGTCCTCTGCCAATTTGAAAAGAAACTTAACTTTGCTCTTCACTGTAATGTTCTATCAACACTGGAGCACACAGCAGCATCAACAAAGAACTGGGTCAATTCTTCACCACCTGTTTATCTAGTACTCAAGTGCCTGGAGGGAAGGCTGCCACTAGAGCACAGGCCCTGCGCGTGGGTCTACTGCAGATGGACAGACTGCCCACGCTTACTACAGTTAGAGTGGAAAAACAAAAAACAAACCCAAAGAATCAACATGGAGAAAGACAGATGTAACTATTAGGAAAATGGTTAATGATTATGACACAAAGATCCTGGACCGTCTTATTCCCACACATCACATACCGCATAGATCCTCAGCCAAGCTCACAGACGTCTTAGTTCCTGGGTGGGTTTTCAAAACGATCAACTGATCTGATGGTGAGTGGTGTCTGTGGCCTGCCTGAAGCTGGTGAGGCAAGTAGTTGAACTGCATTGGACTTCAAAGCCTCCCACACTTTTGCCTCAAAGACAGGCAACTCCTCCCACTATTCTAAGCCTCAAGCAGTCCTCAACCAACACTTTCTGGGAAGATGCAGAAACAGCAGAAACTGGGCTGCAGATGGCTCAGTGGTTAAGAACAGTACTTACTCTTCCAGGGGACCTGGATTTGATTCTTAGCACCCAGACAATGGCTCACAGGCACCTGTAACTCCAATTCCAGGGAATCCTAACACTCTTCAAGCCTCCACAGGCACTATGTGCATGTGGTATATTGATATACATGCATCCAAAACACCCATACACAAAAAAATAAGAAATAAAAACTTGTAAAAACGTAAAACACAAAACAAACTCAGAAACATTACCAAATACAAGAAGGGCTGTCCAGTAAAACTCTGGAGATATTTGTAAGGCAGGATTGAGTTTAAAATAGGATTTTTTCTAACCGTTAGCCCTCACAGAGATAAAACAGCTTGCCTTAAGGTAGTAGTTTCTCCTCAAAGTATCCAAGTGATCCTAAACTGCTTTAAAAAGTCCATGTGAGCGCAGACGAGATGACCATTCTGGTTGCTTCCAACACAGAAATGATATAAATTGCTTAGAAACTCAGACTTACTTTAGCAAGGCTGTAAATGTTTTCTTCAAATGCTTCTAGTCTTAGTCATGACACTACTTTGCATGAAAAATAAATGTTTGCAACTTCAGTGAACATCAAATGTAATAGTATCAAATAGTGTGTATGTTTATTATGTGCCACCACAAAAATTCTCTTTTGGAGTTAGTGCACTTACCTGCCCTTGTTATCCTGCATGTTGGGGTTAGCACCAGCCTGCAGGAGGGCCTCTGCAATCTGTGCCATCTCAGACATCACATCTGCTGAGTATTTCTTTGAACTGTACAATGCTACAAGGTGTAATGGGGTCTCCTGGGCCCCTAGTGTGGCAGCGTTGACAAGGGCCCCATTCTTAATGAGGAATGTAGATGCAAAAAGATCTCCTTAAAAAGAAACAACAAAACACACAATGACAAGACAGCAACCAGATACTGTGGCCAATAAATCCTCAGAAGGCAACAGGAGATAACTGCAGACATAGGAGAACAGCTGGGGGCGTCTGAAGCAGCATCTCGGATGGTGGAAACTCATGACAGTTCACAGAGTTATGCTTTAATTCAAAAGGCTCCTTTTTCCACCTTTTAATTATCCATGATGATTTGCCCTGGTTCCTTTCTTCAAGATGCCTTTTCTACCTAACAGTAACAGACTTGGGTGGGAGAGATGGTTGAGTGGTTGTTCTTACAGAGGACCCCAGTTTGAGTACCAGCACCAACTGCCAGGGATCTGACATCCTCTTATGGATTCTATGAACACATGCAGAAAGACACACAGAAAGAAACACACACACACACACACACACACACACACACACACACACACACACACACACGTAGGTGGGTGGGCGGGAACAGTTATTTTTCTTAGTGGCCTCCAGGTGGCACCAATTAGCTTCTACTTTCCACCAAAGTCTTTAAAAATTGGCCTCAAGGCCAGGCAGTGGTAATGTACACTTTTAATCCCAGCACTTAGGAGACAGAGGTAAATGGGTCTCTGAGTTCGAGGCCACCTTGTCTACACAGAGAAACCCTGGTTCAAAAAAACAAACAAAAAACCCAAAACCAACCAAACAACAATAATAAACTGGCCTCACTAAAATATTAGGGAAGAAAATGGATCAACTTCAGTACTACTGGGTTTCACTTTAACAGACAGGATCTAATTCCAATCAATTCTGATTTCAGATACTAACCTCTCTTACCAGAGTCATAGGTCTACTTTTAAGACAGAAATGATGACACAGGCACACAAAAAAACCCTGCAGATGCTTAGATTCAGATGAAAAGCATAATAAAAACCATCTTCTATTTTTTTTCTCAAAAGACAATGATAGTCTTTCTCTGTAGCCCAGGCTGGCTTCTAATTGGCATCACTCTCCTGTCTAGCTCCTCATGTGGTAAGATTACAGGCAAGAACTACCATTCTTAGCTAACATTTTTATGACTTAAGCCTTCTTAAAAAATTACCTGACTTTAAATAAAATTTACTTCATTGGTTAGACCCAAAAATCAGTTCATAATTTATAATCAAGCATTTATATATACTTTATACAAAAAAGGCTCTTTAGGAATTATCAGAAGTTGAATTAATGAAAGTCAGTTCAGAGGGTAAACAAACAAACAACAGCCAGAGAACAGGACAAAGCAGGGAACTGGAAGCCAGGCCCTAGATAAGGTTCTTAGCAACAAGGAAACAAAGCATTCCACACACCTCAACCTGAACAAGGATTCGACTCATAGTCAACTACCTGTCGACTACAGTCACGGAGTCAGGAGTGCTGAGCACGGCTAAAGCCTCAGCAACAGAAAGCCAGTGTCTCCCTACTGGAAACGTCCAGTCACTTGCTTTCCTCATTCACCAACAATGCCAGGAAAGTGAGGCATTAGTGTAATAGTTTTCCCACATAAAAATATTCCTAACCAATGCTAAACAGTTTTTAAATGCACATGCAATGTTTCTTTCAGTTTTATGACAGTTTTAATTAGAGCAAATCATATTTAATAGTTCTCATTCTAATTGGTCAGGAGAGGCCCATTTAGGAAACCTATTGGTCTATGTGAGTTACTACAGTTTTTTTAGTAGTGAAAAAACTAGAATTGTTATGAAAGGACTCATCATCTTGCTTAAGTCAGACTAATCAAAGGAGACGGTAACACTGCCTTATGTGAGTCTCCTATGGCCTCACAGACCCTAATACCATCAAATTCTTCTGACAGACATGTGCACTTGCTTGGTAGGATGTGCACTAATGTTACGGATTCTGATGTGCATCTTGAAGAAGACCTCATTCATATTTTAATGAACCTCCACCACTCATTAATGAATTAAAAGCAAGGTCAATAGGCAAACTTAAAGGTAGCACTCAATCATTTGGGTAACACTAACCAAGTGACATCAAGCCAAAGAAGGCAATGTCAAGTAATTCCTTGGAAGGATGTGATAACACACATATAAAACCCAGAACACAAGAGTCAGGCCGGAGGAGCACTGTAGGTCTGAGACTAGGCTCTACCATGTAGTTAGTGTTCTAGGATAGCCAGTGTTTCAGTGGGACCTCAAGGAAAAGACAATTCCCTATGGGGCCTGATTTTGGTACTCCAATCCTCAGGCAAGGTAAAGGCCACTGTGTTTACTCAATCAGCAACAGGCAGTCATTGTATGAGGGACATCCCAATCCTGTCTCACTGTGCTAACAGCCTGGTGAAGCAGAAAGATCCCTTTCCATTTTACAAACAAGAAAGTATGGGCGAGTGACTGTCAAAGCAACACAAAAGCCAGGATTCAGACCAGTCTGTGCTCTGTCCACTACAGCATGCTGCACTCTTTTTAAAGTCTGCTATATTCACACTGTAATCCACATACTTCAAGACAATTCACAAACGCAGAATGAAAGATTAAACCACCCTAGAACACTCATCAACACTATCTTGGCAATTCCTGTAGCTAAGCAATCACCCAAATATTTAGTAATTCACCAGAGATGTTCTTTCATGAAAAGTAAGAATTCAGCTCCCAGAGAAGAAAGGAACTTAATTGTTTTTTTTTAGTAACAAGTGAATCTGTTTCCAAAATAAACACTTCAGATACTAAACAGAGTAGGAAGAAACAATTCCCTCTGGTATAGAAACTTTCCCCCAATGAACACAAACCCAGAGCTAACTGCTGTGTGTGCTTGGAAAAAGGCATTTACTCTCCACAGCAAGTTGTTCTAAGGGTTTCCTACCCAGTGATGAATGAGTAAAACTTCCCTATTAGCCAGCAAGCTCAACCCTCGACGTAGTTCAAAAGGACATTTATACTACAACTTTTGTCCACAAAGGAGAGAAAGCCGCAGCCGCACATCACCAGCATCCAAACAGTACATCCTGCTAAGGGACAGAACTATGCTGGATCATATAGCAGTGTCATCTGTTGATGGACATCCCTTTTCTGGCTTTCATGAATAATGCAACCACAAACACACACATACCTCTGTGGTTTGCTAACATAGAGATTTCCTCCACCTGTATACCAAGAGTGGCACCAACTATTGTTTTTGAGAAATCTCCACATTGGTTTTTCATAGTGGCTATACAAGTTTACATTCTCACAAATAACAACAAACACAGAATTTGGGAGGCAAAGGCAGGCCTCTGTGAGTTCACAGCGAACTGGTCTACACAGTGAAACTCTGTCTCAAAAATTAAAAAAGAAAACAAAATTCCTCTTTCTCACTAGCATGTGAGGATTTTTTAAAAAAAAATTATCTATATCTTTTGATACTTACTTTCCAGAGTCATTTCTGTCCTTCTACCATGGGTCTTGAGAATCAAACTCGGATCATCAGGCTTGGCACAAGTGCCTTGACTCACTGAAACATCTCTTGGCCCTGTCATTTATTGTCCTTTAGACAATCATTCTGAACTGGAATGAGATAGACTCTCAAAGCAGTTTTATGTGTATTTCCTGGTGGGTGAGGATGGGGAACACTTTAAAGTTTTATTTACCATCTGTATATCCTCTATTGAGACCTGACAGTTTAGCCTACTTATAGATTGGATGTGTATTTTTAAAGTGTTGAATTTCTGGAGTTCTTTACATCTACTGAGTATCACCCGTCTGATACATAACCTGAAACTGTGTAGCCTTTTCCCACTATCTCTTCCCTCTGGTGATTGTTTACTTTGTTGTCCAGAAGCTTCCTCATTTTGATTTTGGGGACTATTTCCTTGCTACTAGAGTACTGTTCAGAAAACCCTTGCCTACACCTGTATCTAGAGGAATTTTAGCTATGTCTCCTTCCTCTAGCACAGTGGTTCTTAACCTTTCTAATGTCATAGCCCTTTAATATAGTTCCTCATGGTATGGGGACACAGAACTATAAAATTATTTTATTACTACTTCATAACTGTAATTTTGGTATCCTTATGAACTGTAATGCCATATGGCTGTTGGCAAGTGCAACAAGCACTCTTAGCTTCTCTCCCGCCCCTCCAAAATATGTTTTTGACAGAGTTCTCAAAATTGCAATGCTATACCTATATTTCTGAATCCCTTTTTTTTGTTGATGTTTTTTTGTTTTTTTCGAGACATGGTTTCTCAGTGTAGCCTTGGCTGTCCTGGAACTCACTCTGGAGTGCTGGGATTAAAGATTAAAGGTGTGCAACACTACCATCACCTGGCCAATCCTCATTTTTTTGTCAGTCTACATGCCTGCTCTTGGGTCAGCAGTACTTTTTAATTAAGAAAAGAGAGAGAGAGAAAGAGAGAGAGAGGGAGAGAGAGAGAGAGAGAGAGAGAGAGAGA